CTTGTGAGAGGAGGCGACCCCGCATCTGCTGCCGTGACACTCAGGATGTACTGAGGCGTCTCCTCGCGGTCCAGCGCGCTCACTGTCACCAGCTCATAGTAATTCTTATAGGCTGGCCGCAGGGAGAAGGAGAGCTGATCCTCGAGGGCACAGGAGATCTTCCCGTTGGCGCCAGAATCCCGGTCCCTGACCGAGAACAGGGCAACTACCGTGCCGGGCACTGTGTCCTCAGGGAGGGGACTGCTGAAGGAACTGAGCACCAGCTCTGGGGCATTGTCGTTCACATCCACCACCTCCACCAGCACTTTGCAGATTGCTGAGAGGCCCCCACCATCTGTGGCCCTCACAATCAGGTCGTGATACTGTGCTGCCTCAAAGTCCAGAGGTTTTGTGAGTTTAATTTCACCAGTTATGGGATCAATCACAAATGCTGAGTCTGCCTGTACAACTGACTGGCTAAGTTCATAGAAGATGTCTCCATTTACTCCTGCATCCTGATCAGTTGCCAGCACAGTCAGAACCACAGAGCCTGCTGGCATGTTTTCCATAACCCTCCCAATATAACGCTCTTGCATGAAGATGGGAGCATTGTCATTTACATCCAGAATGATAATAGAGATCTCGATACTCCCACTCCTCGGAGGAGAGCCCCCATCCACAGCAATAACACTGAAACCCATCTCTGCATGCTCCTCTCTGTCTAATGGATTTTCCAAAACAATTTCGAGATATTTGTCATCATTAGTCCGACTTCCGTATGACAACCTGAAATACTCATTCTCGGGAGAGATGCTGTACTCCTGGACTGTGTTACTGCCAATATCGGGGTCCCTAGCACCCACCAGTGGGAAACGAGAGCCTGGATCGCTCCTTTCCACGATCTTGTAAGTGACTCGTTCCTCGGGGAAGACGGGTGAATGGTCATTGATATCGTCCAGAGTCACCTCGACCCGAAAGAACTGCAGGGGGTTGGAGAGCAGCAGCTCGAAGGGGAGCATGCAGGTGGCGGCCTGGCCGCACAGCTCCTCCCGGTCCAGCCTCCCCGCCACGACGAGGCGGCCGGAGGCGCGCTCCAAGCGAAAATGCTGCCGCCCGTCCTCCGAGAC